TTGGGAAAGTCAGCTGTGATGGATCTCTCAAGAGTAGTGAAGAGCAACAATGTCAGGCTGGAGACTAAGATGCGCCTGATCTGGGCTATGTTGTTATTGTTATGTGCGGTCGAGTCGCTTGCGACTCATAGCGACCCTATGTACAACAGCCCTAAACCCTGCTCTATCCTGTGCCAATCTCACTGCCTCCGACACATCCATCCCGATTACATATACTTAGAAAAATTAATTGGAAGGAAAAAATTCTCATTTTCATGAAGATGAGTAATCCTATCAATATAATACTTTAGAGCTTTTTAGAATTAGTTTCAGTTTTCCAAAAATGAGCAGAAAAATGTTAAAGACCATATCTAAAGGTCATGACTAGAGGTTTCACAACTGGGAAAAAGAGTAAGTATAGTTTAAAAAACAAAACAAAACAAAACCCCACAAACCTCTGATGGCACTAAAAGTTAAGTGCTTGGCTACTAGCTGAAAAGCTGAAGGTTCAAACTCCTTGGAATGAAGTCCTTGTGATCTGTTCCTATAAAGATTACATCCTAGAAAACTCTATGCGGCTGTTCTCCACTGTCATATGAGGTAGCTGTAGTAAGAATGAACTCAATAGCACCCCACAACAATAGTAGTTTGAAAAACATATGCAATGGGTTATTTCTTCAAAAAGACAGAAATTAAAGCTCAATAAAAATCTTTTTGGACAATGATAACAAACAAAAATTTAATAAAAAAGCATCCCCAGTGCATTCTTCAATCAATGCATGTTAACTATGTCTTATTAGGCATGGATATGGCACCATTTAAATTATTCTTTCAACAGCATATAATACACATAAGTGTTTTGTTTTAAAATTAGTGTGTGATTTATTTCAAAGTAAAAAAAAAATATATTTCTTTGTTATTTATTCCAGTGTAGTACCAGAAAAAAGGGCATGAAATATTTATGCTTGTCAAAAGAGGCCTTGGGATATATGCCACATAAAAATGCAAACAGAAATATTCCATGCCTATGGTGACCTTAAGGAGGTCTGGCGGCTTTGTGGTAAGAAGGTACATTGCCAAACCAAAGGGACTCAGTTTCAATCCATCAGCTGCACTGTGGGAGAAAGATGGGTAGTCACCTCCTGTGTGATTTACAGTCTCTGAAAACCCACTGGAGGGTCAGCTATGAGTCTCTTTGGACACGATGGCACATAACAAAAATAAGGGGAAAGAATAAAATAACTAAGAGTGGAGAAAGAAAGCCTGGATTTAAAAAGATTGAGAAAGCCTGATCAAAGGCATTGTTTTGTATCACAGCAGAGTCTTCGACTGCAGACGCATGTATGCCTATCAAAAGACATACTGGGGAAGCTCAATTTGCCTACAAACTCAATTTTCTGCAACTTAATGAGAGATTTTCATGGACAAATAACAGTCACTTAAATTTGCATTCATACATGACTCATTTTGAGTAAAAATAAGGTCTAATAATTTCCTACCTGCCAAAGTTGATTCCTTTTGTAGCCCTGACCTATAAGGGCAAAAAGCTAACATTTCGTATTTTATTTAGATAGATCTTATGCAGATGGTAGGGCATGCATTATTGTTCTTGCTTTATAAATATGGACACTGAAGCCCAAACAATCTAGGTGACTTCCATAGGGCATGCATCCTGGACACTTGCCGTCAGTTCCAAACTCTTTGCTGAAATAATCCTGATGTTTGATCTATCCATTAATTTAAAAAATAGTTAACTGAGTACCTACTAGGCAGCAGGTTGTGTTCCCAATGCTGAAGACACAGCAGTGACCACAAAAATGTTCCTGTGACCTCCTAGCATTGCAAACAAACGTCAGAGCATTTTAAGCTCCTTGAAGAAAAATTAAGTGTATCAAAGATAGACCAAAATATGTGCTTTTTACAATAGGGTAGACAAAGAAGTCCTTTCTTTCGGATAAGAGAGTCGAACAAATATGTTACTTAATTATCTTTTTCGGCAGAAGGAAGAGCAAACACAGAAACCCTAAGAAGGGTTTAGCTATAGCCACACACTGCCTTCCTATTCTCTCTCCCTTGTCCAAGCTTCTTTTGTACCTTCTTTATTTTGGCTTTTCTGGAGTTAGGCCTACCATCCTCTTTGCCAGCCTTTTTAAGTCAGCCCCTTTTACTACCCACTCATTCTTCTACTTCCCCTTGATAAGATCTAGAGAACGTCAGTTCGCTTTCATTGGCCCTGCAACTGGAAAAGGCAATATTATAACCAAAACATAAAAGACTTGAGCCCAAGAGATCCAATAGCAGCCATGAACCACCCTTGAAATCTTCCTAATTGGCTATAGTGTGGCCAATTATTCCTAATGGCCAGAGAGTGGGAGTATTCTGATTAACTGAAAATTGCCACAAAGCGTGGATTGCCTGTTTTCAAAAAATTGATATACAAATATGAAAATCCTTGAACACCAGCCTCATTGTAGTCTCTCTTCACCGACCCAGTAGGTACTTTGAAATCTCACAGTCCGACATTTAGGTGTCGATGCAAGCGTATTTTCTCATTTTATTTCTGCCTAGGAACTACTTGGCATGTCTGGTGTTTTTCTGGATGCTTTCATCTTGCCATTGTAAAGTGCTATAGCGAAAATGTCCCCCAAGAGTCCTAAAAGACATTTAACTGAAAAGACAATAATAACAACAACAACAACACTGACTTTTTTTGTGAGAGCTCTAGTGGCATAGTCCATAGGGAGTTGCGCTACTAATCCAAGACTGCGTGTCTCTGGTGGTTCAAATCCACCAGTGGCTGCATGGGAGAGAGATGGACAATCTCCTCCAGGGTAATTTACAGCCTCAGAAACCCACTGAGGGGTCAGCTATAAGTCAGTTTTGACCCAACCACCATGCGTTTTGAGAGTTTTAATCTTATTGAACTATATGTCAGGTTCACTACCGAGTTTATTATATATGTCATGGTATGTAATCCTTATAGTTCTATGTGCCACTATTCTGAAAGCACGCGGGTTCTGATCCACCAGCTGCTCCATGAGAGAAGGGTGGGCATCTCCTCCCAAGAGATTAACTGCCTCTGAAAACCCACCAGAGGGTCAGCTATGGGTTGGTTCTGACTATACAGAACACAACAACAACAGTTCTATGATATCCATTTTATGGATGAAAATGCAAAGGGACTGGAAGGTTAACTTTCCAGAGGTCACAAACGCGGCACCTGACTAGCTCGGGTTCTATCTCAGAGCTTCCTGACTCTGGATCCTGGAGCAAAGGTACATCTGATTCAAAATGGAAATTTAGACTGAGACAGGCCGAAGAAAGGGCAAGGAAAGTTGAATCATAACAAGGGTGTTTTCCGAAGGTCTGCCCTTTCTGACTGTTATCAGTCCTGGCTTTTTTCCCCTAAGAGTCCTCTTTCTGGAGCTCCTAGCCTCCAACACAAGTCCTTCTAAATGAATGTAAATTAAGTAGATCCAGTTTACCATTTCTAATTAGCAAACATCCCCTTCCCCTTCTTGGTGATTCCCAGCAAAGAGGCAATGGCTTCTCAAAGCAATTTGGGGCCACTTTGGGGCCTTCCTCCTCCCTTTGAATTCAACAGGCTGCCCTTGAGATAACTTTTGCTATTAGGGAACAGTCCAAAAGCCAGGAACCTGGCTCTCTCTTGGAGTGATGGTAAATTCTAGGCCCTATTTCCATTCCCAAATGGACCTTCTCTACAGCTTCCCACAAAATACCCTGGGGAGGTCCTGCAATGCAGGGACATCAAATGCCAAAATCCCTAAGGAGCTATCTTGACCAATGTGTAATCCACCAGGGTGTGGGCCAAGCCGTACTCCAGTCATCGCCGCCCCCAGCCACAGTCCAAGCCCTTGGCAAAGTCCAAGCCTGGCGCCCAGCTAACCGCCACACACATCGTACTCACAGCACACACAGGCAGTACGCGCCTGGCAGGGTCTCACTGTCCCTCAGCAGATAGCTGCCATCCAGCCCGGTGGAGAGCAAGAGCTTTTCCCCAGTCTCGCGGCTGATTTTGCCGTGGTACACGGTCACCGCTTCCACTTCCATGGCCTGGTGGAACTCTCGGGCAAACCGAAGGAAGGCACAAGGGTGATGCCACCACTGCTGCAGGTGGGCACAAGGCAACCACCAGACTCCCAGCTCAGCCAGTTGTGCAAATAAAGAGAAGCACTCGAACAACAGGATGTTGTTGCAGTGCCCCAAAACCTCCTTCTCACACTTCAATTAAAACCAACTCAGCATTTTGATGACGTAGCTGTCCCCACCAGATTCGTCTCTCTTTCCCATACCCTGATGCTAGAGAGGGGGAGAAAGTTGGAAGAAAGTCCTGGCAAGACGATGTGGGCTGCACTTGCGATGCCAGCCTTTGCCCACTGTCACACAGCCAGGAAAGCTTGGCAGAGGTTGGGTTGGTTGGTTATTTTTTTTCTCTCTCTCTTGTCATCTTCTCAGGGGCCACCAGGCATGACTCAGCTTGACTAGCCCCTAAAAGGGTGGATGATACAGGCAAATTGTGCACACAGTCCTCAGAAGGGACAGTAACACACTGAGATAAGAGAAGGACTAAAAGCTCTGAGATCCAAACACCAAAACCACCCGTGCCCTCAGTACCAAGCACAGCCAAGATGTTCCCATTACACAACAAACAAGAGGTCATGGGTGAACGGTGGCTATTGGGGGAGCCCTTCCTGTTCCTCCCTCTTGTAGCCATTTTCAGCACTCTTAGGCCAGAGCACATGTTGAATTTTTTTCCCTGCCATATTTTCCAAGGTCCCATTGTGCTGGTTCACATACAAAAATCACTAATGGTTCGCAATGTATCACATGATGAGCTGTAGATGAGGGAATGAATCATCTGATTGATGCTTTGCCGTTAAGTGGACATGTACATATCCTCTGATGTCTAGCCTTTGGGATGTAAAGTCACGTTTAAATCCGTTTGCAAGTGTTGATGATTGGGCTGTAACTTTTATCCTCTGCTGTTTCTAGAGAAAACAGCTTTTCCTTCAGATGATGTTTAACTGGTATTATTGGCTTTTAAAAAAAAAATCCTCATTTCTGTCTCTGAACTAATATGCATTGATTCTCTTTCCAAATGTACCATTAAGTAGTATTTCCCCAAAAATATCCTCCGTTTTCTCCGGTTAAGATCTTTCCGTTTTTTAATTGTGATTTTAACGAAAGTTTACAGAAAAGTTGCATTTTCATTCATTCATTGTTGCACATCTCCCTACCACCGACCCCAGTTCACAGCATTCATTGTTGCATCATTTTCTCCATCCCCTCCACCGCTCCCTCAGCCGGCTTTCCTGTGCACCTCCAGAGTAAGAATCACAAGTTAAATAATCTATTGTATGTCTTCCTTATCTTCGGAGTCTGTCCAGGTCTTTGAGAATGCTGCACGGCTGGGAGCCCAGTAGGAAGAATGATTTTTCAAGTCGTATGTGTCTTGCCCATGCCTCATACCCATATAACTGCCTCATGCTACAACCAGGTATTTGTTTCCTACCCAAAATGCTTGAGAAGAAGACTCAAGAGGCAACCAGTGGCCACATTCCTTCTTGGTTGAAAAGGGCCAAGCCTTGCTAGTAAGTAATGTACACTCTACCAACCTTCGTGTTGAGCCTAAAGTGTTTATGGAAACATAAACTTCTTACACTCATGTTCAATAATCAAGGATTAGAAGAAGAGGAAGAGGAGGTTAAGAAGAAGGAGATAACATTCAAGATAACATTTGGGGATGGTTCCAAGGAACTCTGGTGGCCTAGTGGTAGGGAGCTGTTCTGCCATCCCAAAGGCATGCTGTTTGAATCCACCAGCAATTGAATCCTCCAGTGTGATTTACAGCCTCTGAAAACCCACTGGACCACTTGAAAAACCACTTGAGAGCTGGGCAAAGGTTATGTCATCCTCTTCTGCATTTGTATTGTCTTATTCCACCTCTGCCTCCTTTTTCCTGCTTTGAGTCAATGAAGAAATTGATCAGTGACGGTATACTCCAGAGTTAAGGATTTGAGAAGTTCGCTCTCCCTGTCCTCTTGGTATCCAGAGAGAATAAATGCAAAACCCAGAGAAATGTATAACAACAGGAAAATTTCAGCCATGAAAAAAAAAATGGGAAAAGGGATCCCCTGGCATCAGTTTGTATGGGCAAAGCTTACCTGTGAGGTGAACTCTAAGAAAAACAACAACAACAAAAAACCACACCTTAACCTTTTTAGTCTCTGACCAATCCTGAACAAATCATCCACCAACTTAGGAACAGAGAGCAATCTAGGTGTGACAACAGAAGCGTACCATGCATGCCTCTTTTCTTTCTCTGTTTTGTTCACTGTTGCTAAAATAGCACGTCTGTCAAAGCAGCCTGGTCCGATGGGGCTCAGCACAAGTAAGATGGTATAAAAAAAGAACAGATAAATTATAAGGTAATAGTACGACTCTCACATCCAGTACCTGATTGTCATCGCACAAGCGAACTGACAGCTGAGCCAGCCTACTACTGTAGTGTTGATGAAAAATACTGACATCTTTGTGCTAGTGTTACACAGGTACTACCCCTGACTTAAACAAATTTGAAACTTCACACTGAGCTTTAAAGCCAGGAGAGAGAGAGAAAGAGAGAGAGAATGTTTCTTCCTCTCTCTCTCTCTCTCTCTCTCCCCCCCCCCACAGGAAAGGGGTGTGGGGAGTAGGGGGTTGGAGATGAAAGAAAGATGGAGGCTCTAACTGACAAAGACTTGGGAAGAACTTCAGGAAGTAGAATTATCTGATTAATTGCTTACTGTCTTTCTCTCACTAGAATGTAAGGCTCATGACGGCAGGATTTGCTGTGCTTTGTTCATCACTGTATTCCAGATACCTGGAGTGTGTCACCCCTAATCGACATTGAGTCAATAACCCACTGGCATCGAGGTAGTCCTCATTCATAACCCCCTTCCATTTAGTTTTCAAGACTGTAAATTGTAAGAGGAGGCGATTTGCCCATTTCTCTCCCTCAGAGGCTCTGTTGGGTTCAAACTGAAGTAGGTGAGAAGCCTTTGTGTTAGCAGTGGCCACCAGAGCTCTGCATTGGGTCAATGTGATTTGTGAAATTAATACTTGAAAACAAAAAACCAAAACAAAGGAAAAACTTACTGAAATTTTATCATTCACAAACACACACACAGTCCCAAACCAAACTTACTCATTGGCTTCAAGTGGACTCCAACTTATAGAAACCCTGTAAGAACAGAGTAAAACTGTTCCATAGGGTTTTCCACACTGGAATCCTAAAGACAGCACCTAACAGTAAACAACAATCTTTAGGAAGGCAAGCTGTCACATCTTTCTCCACAGACCCACCACAGCTCCCTACAGACACACACGTACTTTAGTTCTACATGCCTTCTGAACGCTTTTAAACAGCGAGGTGAATAGGAATGACTTCTACTCCTTGTCTTGCCACTAAATCACATCATCCCTCTAAGCCTCATTTTCCACATCTGTAAAATGGCGTTAAAGCAGATGAGCCCTGTATTCATTGCCAGCTTTAGCGTTCTGCGCTTTGAAGGAAAGCTGGAGCAGAGGGAACGTGGACTGAGCTCATTTGTTTGCAAGACACAAGTGCTGTTTCCTCAAGTCTCTCCTGAGAGGGGAGAGATTTTTGTTCTCGTTCTCTGATAAATAAAGAAATAAAAGCCACGAGCTGGAGGAAGAGATCTGCACAGTCTGAAGCACACTACCACCTTTTTAGAAAATAGATGCCACTGAAGTAAAAAAATAAAAGCATCGAAGTTAGAAAAACTGTCAACCAAGGTTGAAAGTGACTTCTCATCCAAACTTTTCATCCCCCTGACGTCTTGGAAGGAGTGACAGGACTTTGCTTGTGGAGGCCCTGTGTGAGGTGCTAATGGTCTCCATTTCAAATGCCCTAGGCTGTTCCAGACTCAAGCAGATTAAAGAGCTGATGCCAAAGGGGGTCAGTTTTATAGAGTGCATCTGACATTTAACAATAAAAAATCTTTTTTTCTTACCTTTCGAAACTAATTTTGTTCTTCAACTATCTCATCTAAAGGTGTGAATTCTCCTGTGACAGTGTTATAATGTTGTCACCTGTGGTGAGTTTACACATTATCTTAGTACTCACTAAGATTCACTTCCTTTACAAAAAATGAGAAAAGAAAAAAATTAAGGTGCCTTTTTTTAAAAAAAAATCAAAACAGCAAAAAACACACAACTCCTTTTGATGGTATTTGAGTTGACTTGTGAAGCTAGTTTGTTAAAAGTCGTATTGAAAGTGAGAAAGCAAAGATAAGGTTCTTTTGCATGTTGATTGAAGCCTGTTGTAAATGTATTTATTCTTCCAAGAGACATTTATGAGCATCTACTGTATATCAGGCACTGTAGCAAGTATTTAGGTTGGGTAAAAAGTAGGGTGGGGTGGAAGAAAGTGTCTGCCTACAATTCACTTAACTATGAAAAAGATAGCGCTATAAGAACATAGTAGAAGGAAATTTAACTCAGCTTATATTCTAAACCAGCACAACCTATCAGAGATAAGTTCTTTCTATTTCTCTCTGTTGTGGACAATTTATTTTACTTGTTCTAATTTTACCTTTTTCATGATTCAAAGGATATTCTGTAATTCTATTCAAAATTCTGCCTGCTTAGAGAACTCTGGTTGCCTAATGGGTAGAGTTGAGCTGCCACACCAAAGGCAGGCAGTTCAAATTCAGCAGCTGCTTCAAGGGAGAAAAATGGGCAATCTCCTCCCATGCAATTTATGGTCTCTGAAAATCTGCTGGAGGGTCAGTTCTGGGTCAGTTCTGGCTCAATGGTGCTCAACAACATTAGGCCTACTTTTAAGATTTTTATTGTTAGAATAGTAATAGCTTTTGGACAAGTTTTCTAGAAAAGCAAATCACAGTTAAATTATATAGATATAATTTCACCCAATGTTTCACACCACCAAAGTTTCTAAAGCTATAAATCTTAGCTGGAAGGAATTGCCTCATCTTACTCCCCTGGAGCAACTGGTAGATTTGAACCAACCTTTCAATTAGTAGCTCAACACTTAATCCACCAGGGTTCCTTA